CGCCCGTGCCGCCCGCGCCGTCGCCGCGCCGCCCGCCGCCATCCCCGCCCGTCGCCGCCCGTGCCGCGCATCGCCGCTCGTCGCCGCCCGTCGCCGTCGCCGCCCGTCGCCGCCATCCCCGCCCGTCGCCGCCCATCTCCGTCGCCTTGGGACCATCGCTGCCACATTGCAGCCGTGCCGCCCGTCGCCGTCGCCGCCCGTCGTCGCCATCCCCGCCCGTCGCCGCCCGTGCCGCCCGTCGCAGCTCGTCGCGCCGCCCGTCGCCGCAATCCCCGCCCGTCGCCGCCCGTGCCGCCCGTCGTCGCCCGTCGCGCCGCCCGTCGCCGCAATCCCCGCCCGTCGCCGCCCGTGCCGCCCGTCGTCGCCCGTCGCCGTCGCCTCGGGACCATCGCCGCAACATCGCAGCAGTGCCGCCCGTCGCCGCCCGTCGCCGTCGCCGCCCGTAATCGCCATCCCCGCCCGTCGCCGCCCGCGCCGCCCGTCGCAGCTCGTCGCCGCCCGTCGCCGTCGCCGCCCGTCGCCGCAATCCCCGCCCGTCGCCGCCCGTGCCGCCCGTCGTCGCCCGTCGCCGTCGCCGCATCGATGCACCGCATGGATTGCAGGACGTGGGTTGCATCGCACACATTGCACAACATGTATTGCACCGCGTGGGCTGCCTTACGTAGGTTGGCACCGCATGGGTTCCTAAATCTGAAATTATATCATCCCAGCCAGGCCGGATTCCCCCCCGGAGGTTCCCTTGTAAAAAACACTATGCGGTGACATGTTTTGTTCTAACATAGCACTTTTTCGCGAACCCCTTGCAAAAAATTGACGAGGTGCACACGCGCGCGTCGCCGCGCGCGCATGCCGAAATCCTTCAAAAACCTTCGGTGCTGGAAGGATTTCGCAATCGAGTTCCCCAAAAACATACAAAAGCACAGGGTTTCGCAACACTGACTTGCTAAAAAAGTTTCCGCGCGAGCTCTTGCGAAATCTTGAGAAAACCATAGATTGTTCAAGACTTTCACAAAATCAGATTAAACGGGCTTCGCGCGCGCGCATGTCGAAATCTGTCGAACGCCCTTGCGCGTGTGCCGTCGCGAGAATCCTCTGCCAAAAATGGGACGAAGTGCAGACGCGCGCGTCGTCGCGCGCGTACGCCGAAAACCTTCAAAACCCATCGGTTTCGGAAGGATTTCAAAATCTTGTCGAAAAAACCCACAAAAACCCAAGGTTTCGCAACACGCATTTTCAACAAAAGCGTGCGCGCGCGCTCTTGCGTCGTCGTCGTTGTCGTCGTCCTCCCTCCTCCCTCGTCGTCGTCATCGTCGTCGTCGTCGTCGCCGTCGTCGTCCTCTGTCTTTCCTCATCGGCGTCGTCGTCGTCTTGGCGTCGTCGTCGCTTCCGTCGTCGTTGTCGCCGTGGTCGTCCTTCCTCCCTCGTCGTCTTCGTCGGCGTCTCGTCGTTGTCCCTCCTATTTCGTCGCCGTCGTCGTCGTCGTCGTCGTCGTCGTGGTCTTCACTCCTCCCTCGTCGTTATCCTCCTCCGTCGTCGTCGTCGTCGTCCGTCGTCGGCGTCTCGTCGTCGTCCCTCCTATTTCGTCGCCGTCGTCGTCGTCTTCGTCGTCGTTGTCGTCGTCGTCGTCTTCCCTCCTCCCTCGTCGTTGTCGTCGTCGGCGTCGCCGTCCTTCCTCCTTCTTCGTCGTTCGCGTCGTCGCCGTCTTCCCTCCTCCATCGTCGTTGTCGTCGTTGTCGCCGTCGTCGTTGTTTCTCCTCCCTCGTCGTCGTCTCCGTTGGCGACGTCGTCGTCGTCTTCGTCGTCGTCGTCGGCGTCGGCGTCGTCGTCGTCGACGTTGACGTCGGCGGTGTCGTCGTAGTCGGTGTTTGCGGCGCCGTCGTCGTCGTTGTCGTTGTCGCTGTCGTCGTCGGTGTCGTGGCCAAGTGCCATGTGGTACCTACCGTCACGGTCTTGTCTTAAGAAGTCTTGCGACCAAGTTGCGGGTGGGAGGGTGGGATGTTTGCACGAGCAGTAGAGAGGACAGCTTCAAGACGGTCAAAGCGGATTGCACCGCATAGACTGTATTACATAATTACATCGCGTACTTTGCACCACATAGGCTGCACCGCATACTTTGCATGACATAGGTTACATCGAATACCTTGCACCACATGTATTGCACCGCATATAGTACAATAACCTACTGTTGGGTCCACGTTGGTTAACAGTGTTCTAATTGCATCCGATTATAGTACAAACAGTCTGGGGCTTCTTGATGCCGAGGTGTACGTATGTGGCACCATGATCATCCAATCATCGTATTTGGCACCATGACCATCCAATCATTGTATTTGGTTCGATCACCTTTGGCTCTACACGCAACCCACATGCGGCAATCTACAAGCTGACTAACTGTCGACCCTCCGCTGTTTTTCCATATGCGACTCCACACCCGTCACAAAGCGTCTGGCGCCACACCGCGAACCAAAACGCCGCCGGGTGAACTAATGACACTGTGCAAACCCACCTCCCATATGCGAACTTGTGCATGTAATAACCCGTTGTCTGGGGAAGAAGGCGAGCCAAGGGGGAAAGAGGGAGGAGGCATCAGCAGAGGAAAAAACATTGTCGCGGGCAGATGAGGGAAGAAAGCATAATAAGTGAAACGAAAGGCTGGTGCCAAACGGCATGAGTAGCTGAGTAGCACCAGCACGCACACACACACACACACACACACGCACACCCACACACACACACACTCTCACAAGCAAATGCCTACGCACGCACGCACGCACGCACGCGTCGCGGCAGAATATACGCGTTCTCCGACGAGAAAAGTGAAACGACTGGCACGCAGACGATTCGAACACCGCACCTCCAGCTTGAAGTCAACATGAGCCTCTCGTCAGAGCTGCAACGCAGCCCACAGTTGTACCTTTGGGTGGAAATCGTTAAATGCCCAGTTGAGCTCACCCCCTCTCGAGCTGGCACCCTACGACGGCTCTGAAAGCATTTAAGAACCCCAAGAACCCCGAAGCGCAAGAGATGAGGGCAGAACACTTCTCCCTCCAGCCCTCCCCCCTGGTCAGGCAGGACGCAGCTCCCTGGCTGAGCCCCGCCTCGAAGCGGCTCCCCGCGTTCACGTACAGCCCCAGAGTTGCCTTCATGCCCTGCGCCGACGGGGGGGGATCTGGCGGCCCCCGAAGCGCGCACGTGTGCCACAAGCGTGCACCTCTGCCCCACCAGCGCCAGATCGCAGACCATACCCTCCGCACCCCTCCTCTCATCCCACCCCGCCACACTGCACCACGCAGCGCTACCACATAGAGACCCACGGCCGCCCACGCCCACGTCTACGCGCACACGCACGCAAGAACTCAGACACAAACTGATGCGCGTGCGCATGGACAAGGGCACGAATGATGACCAACGGCAAAGCGATATCCAATTATGATGACAAACTCGAGGATCTCTTGGCCAGCTCTGAGGCGTGGTCTGGACAGGCTCGCCTGCCTCCCTATTCAGCCAGTGCCCTCTGGCTGAAGTTCATGGGTGGGCATCAGGTGAACGCACAGCAATCGCACTTCAGCCCTGAAAGCTTGCCCCTCTCACTCAGGAGCTGCATGCAAACAAGTGGCTTTTCGCACGCCCAGCAGTGCCCAGATGGGAACACATGGCAGGCCGCGGCGGTCAAATAGGAACAGAACACTTGACCATTGATCCCATTCGTAGACGCCCATCTGCATCGTTCTCTCAACCTGCCCCAGAGGGCATGCCCCCGGCTCTCGAGCAAATCTGCCCGGGGAGCGGAGGGGTGAGCCCAACCCGTCACAGGACCTGCAAACTTTCGACAAGACTGTTCCCGTCTGGCCGCAACCAGAGTGGCGAGGTCCCCGCGACAGCTCCTTCAATAGAGGCCTCCTAGATGGGGTCGGAGTAGATGGGGTCGGAGGATCGCGCTGCATCACCGATGCATCGGCGATGCACCGTGGCTGCACCGGCGACGCATCGTCGACGTCGGCGATGCATCGGCGACGTCGACGTGCAGCAAATCGGGCTCCACATCAAGCCGCATCGCCGATGCATCGGCGATGCGCAGGATCCCCCGACCCCATCTACTCCGACCCCATCTGGGAAATGGGGAACCAAAGTGGGACTATACAGGAATCAAGCAGAAGCCCGGTGAGACATGTTTGATTCGCCACGACCTCAACAGATCGACCACTCTGGCACCGCACAAGAACCATGTGAAGAGTGTTGGCGACCCAAAGGCCCCGATTCCTGAGTCACCGCAGAACCAAACACCAAGCAGGAGCCCTGTGTAAGTATAAAACTTCGCCGAGGTTCGAACATCGGAAACGACGCGGAACCGCTGATTAATCATGTGAAATCGTAAGTTTTCAATTGGATGCCCAGTGCGTGCAGGAGCGAATTATATCCACCGAAGCTGGTGGCCGGGCGTGACATTTTGTCGGCGTTGGCCTGGGGCGCTTGCCCTGCTACGGATATGCCGACACGTCGAGGCGTCTGGTCTGACGCCTGCGTTGCCCTGAAGCTGGCCTGCCGCTGGCATTCTCGCTCTACGATTCTTCGCCCTGAGCTGGGACCGTGGCGCAGTAGGAAACGAGAATGTTTGGCGCTCCGCGCGGATTTCTTGGATCCGCGCTGGACTCCCCTCCCTGGCGCTCGGGGCGCGCCAGGGGCGGCGCCGGAGGCGACGCTGGGGGGGCCCCCAGCGCGGATCCATCCGCGCGGAGCGCCAGAAGTTTACGTGGGACCGTGGCGCAGTAGGAAGCGAGAGCCGCTCCGAGCTGCTCTGCGTCTGCGAGAAGGCGCCGCGCCGCCGGACTCCGCCTCAACCAACCGCGACGCCACCACCCAGGAGGAGGAGGGGGACGAAGAGGAGGAGGAGGAGGAGGAAGAGGGGAGGGGGAGGGGGAGAGCGAGGAGGAGGAGGAGGAGGAGTGTGTGTGTGTGAAGCTCTGCAGAGAGGTGCCAGCATCTAGCAGCAGTTCGCAGCTCTGGCCTTCGCTGGACTCCTCTCTAGAGTGCGCCGCGGCTCGAAACTTGGCCGCGCGTGGCCTCGAAGGCACCCAAGCTCCCACCCACCCCCTTCAACGGCTGGGCTGCCACGTTTTAAAGACAGACAGGCCGAAGGGGCGGGGCTGTAAACGGGAAAAAGAAACAAGTTAAAGAGACCTCCCAGGCCCCAAGGACGACCGAGCGGTCAGGCTCGCTGGAGCCGCGAGGAAAACCAGGACGCCAGAGCAACAAACCTGGGTGCCGAGGCCCCGCATCCCCACAAAACGGGACGCCAAAAAGTTTCGCGGGGGACTCAGCGCTGAAGGCCCAGGAGGTTCAGGATCGCCGAAAGAGGGAGGGGAGTCTCAGACGAAGGGGTGGGGTTATTCTGACCTACTCTTGACGCTCTGGGCTCACTGGGGCTCACTAGGGGCTCAGGTCTCCTCTGGGTCGGGGGCGCGGATGGTGACGGGGTCGTAGTCTGGATCGGGAAAGGAGGTGCTCTCTGGGATCCCCGAGGTCGCAAACTTGCCGAAGGCCTCTGGGTCCTTTGTGCCCACGTCGGCCCCGAGGAAGTAGCGCCCCTGTCAGTCGTGGCCACAATCACATCCCGTCGAGGTGCAGCTGTACCAGACGGGCGTTGTGACTCGTCGGCGGTGTGCCGTGCTTGTGTACCCCTCCCAACTGCACCATTGAGCTGACCACTGTGTTCTCGAGTGTCGGAGGGTCCACTGCAATCCAGATCTTTGTCATCTCTCCGTTGTGAGTGCTTTGCATGCGGCAGTGGCGTATGTCGTCTGCGAGGATGCTGTTGGTCGGGCGCTCCTGCCTGACCTTCTGCTGATACTGCGTGAGTGCCGCCAAGTTCTGCTGCCCGATCTTTTCGCCCTGCGCGATGAGGGCGCCGACCAGCGCCATCCACACGTGCGGGTGGGGGATGCCCAGGGCTACGAGCTCGTCGACCGTCTGGCCCGACCCCAGCTGCTCGCGCTTCTCCTTCCTGATCCTGGCGGCCTCCGCGCCGTAGTACTTCGCGGTCAGCTGCATCGACTGGACCACGTCGTGCTTGGTGGGCATCTGCACGTGTCGGTAGCTGGCGGCCTCGAGTTGGTTCAGGCCCTGCTCGTGTCGGAGAGACATCCGCATCAGGACGGGGACGACGGCCTGGACCCATTCGATCGGCATGCGCTGCAAGCTGGCGACATCCTGTCGGGCCAGGCCGAAATGCGTGTCGGTGGCGTCCCAGACCATGGGGGCTGGCCCAGCCGCGGCTGCCGCGGCGGCTGCTGGTGCCTGCGGTGCCTCCACCCCTTGGCCTCCTCCTCTGCGTGAGCGGCGGGGCGCTCCTCGCTCGTTGCTGCGGGTACGATCGCCCTCTCCGCGCTGGCGGCCTCTGAGCTCTCGCTGGCGTTCTTCGGTCCCAATGCTCAGCGCACGCCCCGCGAGGTTCGACGTCAAAATGGATCTCAGGAGCGGGGGGGCGGGGACCTCTCTGATGTGGCGCTGGAGTGCCTCCAAGCTCGGGAACTCGCCTTGAGCCCTGGCGGCGTCGGTACAGAGGAGCCTCGTACGATGGACTGGGTGCGCGACTTCGGGATCTAAGCAGACGGGCAGAACAAAACCTCGGGAACTCTCAGGGCGGGCGAGTAGGGGCTGAAGTCGGCGATGCACCGTTTCATTTTCAGCGACTGCACAATCTGTCGCTTCGCAAGGACGTCCGAGGAGAAGGTCGAGGAGCAGTAGAAACACTGGTTAGTGACGACCAACTGATGGATGGGCACACGGCACCTATGAGCAGGACGATGACATTGATGGGCCTTGAGAGCCGCCTTGGAGACAAACACACAATTGCAGGGTTCACCGTTTCCAAGAGGAAGTTCACACACATAGTCTTGATGTGGTTCGGGAGCTGGCGGGGCCACTGGGGCCGAGAGGTCCTGCGGAGGCACAAGAGGACGAGAGGAGGCCTGGTCCCAATGCACCTTGCGGGGCCCAGCGGGGTCCAGACTAGCGAAGAAAGCCGCAACCCTATCCTGAGTAAAGATGTCCCTGATCGAGTGACCCTGGTCCAAGAAGAGCTCGCCCCTGGGGAGGAGCCTGAGGGTGAGGATGTCTTTCTGCATTTGGAGGGCCCACGGGTTCGCGTTTTTGTCTATCCATCCAGACTCGGTGAATACAGGCGCCCCCTGCAACGCCTCAAAGATCCCAAGCAGCGCGGCGACCGCTTGCACAGAAGACTCGGGGTACTTGGCGAGTTGTTGCCAGTACCTCAGCCTGCGTACGAGGAGCTCGGTGCGAGCGTCGGCGATGCGCAGGCGCTTGTGGACCTGTCAGGCGTGTGGAACTCGAATCTGCTCTACCCCATCGGCATATGTACGTCTAGCTACTCCCCGAAGAGCGACCTTCGCGAATCCCAAGAGGACGGTGTCCAATTTGACGTAGTCCCGCTTGGCCAGAAGGTAAGTCTCCAGGCCCGCGCAGGCCGCACTCTGCAGAACA